ACCATTGATCAATGACTACTCATCAATGACCATGAATACTATTCACAGAGATTTGGGGATTGGCTGCAATCACAGCATTGAAAGATGTACTATTGGGATGTTACATCTCTCTTCACTTGTGTTCCAATTACTGAAGCGTTGGAGGTAGTTCATAAAAGATTACAGGATGACCCCAATACCATCGACAGAATCACTCTCATTACTGACCAAGTGTGTTTGCTCTTGGAACTGTCTTAATTCCACCTATTTCACATACAAGGGTCAGTACTACTGGCAGAAACATGGGTATACCATGGGTTCTTCATTTTCATCCATTGTGTCCAACTTGTACATGGAAGAAGTGGAAAAGGGGGGTTTATTATACTGCCCTGGAACAACACCAAGTGATTAGTTGAGGTACGTGAATAACATCTAGGTAAAATCTAAACCTGAGGATGTACCACAATTCACTGATTATATTAACCTGGTGGACCTACACAAATTCACCAGGGAGGATATGAAAAGTAGCAGGTTAGCCTTCTTAAACTGTGAGATGTCCATCAGTAATGGGGGACATTTAAAAGTTGATATGTACCATAAACCACCACATATGGTTCATTGTATAAGGTTTGACTCTCATCACCCAGTGGAGCACAAACTGGATGTCATCAGGATGGCGCCCACACAAACACAAAGCAGGAGATGAAGCATCGCTGAATATGTTTCCAAACCAACTTCCTTCCAACCCGAAGACAGAAAAATATGGTGAAGCATGTGATGAATAGCATGCTGACTCAATCATTTCTGCATGTTTCCTAATGTTACAGAGGAGGAGAAGATCCAAAGAGGAGGCAGGGGGAGAGGCTCAGGAACAGTTAGGATCAGAGACTTTGAGCCATCATGGACTCCCACTGTGGGGACTCTTAGTCTTGGTCTGTTCAATTAAACGTACAGTTGCTCCCCCTAAAAGTTTTGGCTTTTAGACAACGGCATCAAAGAATTTATATTATTTGAATGAACTGAAAAAAGATTCAAACTTAAAATGTTTAGAGAATAAACTCTTGCATGACCTCTGACCTTTGACCTGTATCTACAGCACTGACCTCTGACTTTCAGCTCCACTTGTTTCTTCAGCAGGAT